TTTGGGGGTGATTGGGTGGAAAGTGGTGGAGTTTGGGGATGGTTGGGTAGAAATTGGCAGGGATTGGGGTGGTTGGGTAGAGAACAGTGGGGTTTTGGGGGTGGTTGGGTGGAAAGTGGTGGGGTTTGGAATGGTTGGGTAGAAATTAGTGGGATTTGGGGGTGATTGGGTAGAAATTGGTGGGATTTGGGGTGGTTGGGTGGAAAGTGGTGGAGTTTGGGGGTGGTTGGGTAGAGAACAGTGGGGCTTTGGGGGTGGTTGGGTGGAAAGTGGTGGGGTTTGGAATGGTTGGGTAGAAATTAGTGGGATTTGGGGGTGATTGGGTAGAAATTGGTGGGGTTTTGGGTGGTTGGGTAGAAATTAGCAGGGATTGGGGGTGGTCGGGTGGGAAGTGATGGGGTTTGGGTAGAAAAGAGCACGATTTGGGGGTGTTTGGATGGCAAATGGTTATTTGGGGGGGGGGTCTGGGCAGAGTGAGGGGCTCTGCCACCACCACGCACCTTCTTGGAGTGCACCAGGCGGCTGCCCACCGTCACCTCGAACCATCCCGTCACCTCCTGCGTGCCCTGGCCGCGCTGCGGGACACGGGGGGGGGTCACGTCGAGCCCCCCCGCCCCCCGCCACCCCCCAGCACCCCGCTCACCATCTCCAGCGCTCCGGGGAAGCGTTTCTCCAGCTCCGCCCGCAGCCGTTCGTACTGCGAGGGGGGGGGGGAACAGGAGGTCACCGCGCGTGTACGGAGGTTTTGGGGGGGCGGAACGGGGGGGGGAAAACGGGCTCACCTTGGGTTTGTAGCCTCAGGCTCCGCTGCGGGAGAGACCCACCCGTGTTAACTGGGGGGAGGGGGACAGCCGGAGCCCCCTCCCCCCAACACAGCCCCCCCCCCGGTGCCCCCTTACCAGTAGAGCACGGTGACACGGAGCGGCATGGCGGTGGCACAGCCGGTGGTGGCACTGCTGGATTTCACGGCGGATTTTAATGGCGGTTCGATGGCGGTGGGTTCGATGGCGGCCGCCCCCAAGCGCCGCCCCCCCCCGCGCCGTGTCCCCGCCCCACGGCCGCTGCGCGGAGCCGCGTTTGGGGCGAAAGGCGGCGGGTTCGGGCGCCGCAGGGCGGTGGGCGCAGGGCGAGCGGTGTGGTTTTGTTGGAGTTTGGGGTCACGACACGACACGACACGACAGGACGCGACACACAGACGCTTCCCGGCTGCTCCGGGATGCAGTGCATCCCCGCAGCGTCCCGGCACGCAGCAGCGCTGCCCCCGGTGCACCCGAAGCCCGCAATCCCCCCAGTGCCCCCAACACAGCACCGGTACCCTCAGCGCATCGCCCCGCTGCTCCCAGTGCCCCCGGCAGCCCGCCCACCCACTCACCCACTCGTCCACCCCCCCACCCCCCAACCCCCCCCCAGCCCGGTCCCGGGGCCGTGCTGCGCGCTCCCGCCGCTCCTCGGGGCCGCGCAGGGCTCGGGGCCGCGCTCGGCTCTCCCCGAGCGGACGGAGACGGCGGCGATGGGGCCGCGGCGCTGAGCGCGGGGAGGGGGCCCGGTGGGGCCGGGGAGGGGGGGGGTCCCGGTCCGGGGGGGGTCCCGGTCCGGCACCCCCCGCTCCCATCGCGATGGGCGAATGGACGATCCTGGAGCGGCTGCTGGAGGCGGCCGTGCAGCAGCACTCCACCATGATCGGCAGGTGAGCCCCCCGCCCCGGGACGCCCCCCCCGCGACCCCCGCCCCGGGACATCCCCCCGAGACCCCCACAGTCCGCCCTCCTCGCTGTCCTGCAGCCCTACGGCCCCAATGGGGCGGCAGGGGGACCCCCGGATGCCACCCTCTCCTCTCCCACCGTGGGGAGATGGGGGTTCCCATCCTCACCTCCCCGCTGCACCGGGGACGAAGGGGACACCGCGGGGACGTTCACAGCTCTGCGTGGGGACATCGGTCCCTTCTGTGTCCTCAAACCCTCCGTGGGGACATCGGTGTCCCCAAAGCACCCTGGCTCCCCCTGTGCGCTGTGACGTGGGCCACGTTCCACCTGCCGCCCCGAGGGTCCCTCTGTCCCCTCGTCCCCATCCCCCGTGTGCCGGCGGAGCCGCGGGCGCCGATCGATGTGCACCCACATGGGCCAAGGTCAGCACTGCCAGCGTGCGGGGATGGGGCCTGGGGGGCACCCAGGGGGACGGGGGGGACCCGCGGGGGTGGAGGTCCTGGTCTGAGGTGAGACCCCGGGGAGGGAGCCGGGTCCCACTTTGGGATGTGTGTCCTTGTCTGGGGGTTGTGGGTGCCCACGGTGGACTGGTGTTGAGGTGGAGCCATAGGTGTGATCCCAGTGTCCATATAGGACACACATCCCATGGGAGGACCATGGGTATGACCCCAACGCCCATGTAGGACGTGTCCCATGTTAGGTATGACCCCGTTGTCCATGTAGGACACACATCCAATGGGGAGACCCATGGGATGACCCCAACGTCCATGTAGGACACGTCGCATGGTAGGAATGACCCCAAAGTCCATGTAGGACACACATCCCATGGTGAAACCCATGGGTATGATCTCAGTGTCCATGTAGGACACACATCCCATGGTGGGATCCATGGGTATGACCCCACAGTCCATGTAAGACGTGTCCCATGATTAGGACTCATGGGTACAACCCCAACATCCATGTAGGACACACATTCGGACCCTAGATAGAACCCCATTACCCACATAGGACACACATCCCATGGGGGGACCCATGGGTATGACCCCAACGTCCATGTAGGACACGTCCCATGGTAGGAATGACCACAGTGTCCATGTAGGACAGACATCCCACGGTGGGACCTATAGGTATAACCCCACTGTCTGTGTAGGACACACATCCCATGGTGAAACCCATGGGTATGACCCCGTTGTCCATGTAGGACGTGTCCCATGGTAGGAATGACCCCGTTGTCCATGTAGGACGTGTCCCATGGTAGGAATGACCCCGTTGTCCATGTAGGACGCACATCCCATGGTGAAAGCCATCGTTATGACCCCGTTGTTCATGTAGGACACACATCCCATGGTGAAACCCACGGGTATGACCCTAATGTCCGTTTAGGACGCACATCCCATGGTGAAACCCATAGGCACGACCCCATTGTCCATGTAGGACATGGTGAAAGCCATCTCTATGACCCCATTGTCCACGTAGGACACACATCCCATGATGAAACCCATAGGCATGACCCCATTGCCCATGTAGGACACACAACCCATGAGGAAACCCATAGGCATGACCCCAATGTCCACTTAGGACGCACATCCCATGATGAAACCCATAGGCATGACCCCATTGCCCATGTAGGATGCACATCCCATGGTGAAACCCACAGGCATGACCCCAGTGTCCGTGTAGGACATGGTAAAAGCCATCGCTATGACCCCATTGTCCATGTAGGATGCACATCCCATGGTGAAACCCACAGGCACGACCCCGTTGTCCGTGTAGGACATGGTGAAAGCCATCGCTGTGACCCCGTTGTCCCCCCCCCCTGCAGGATCCTGCTGACAGTGGTGGTGATTTTCCGCATCCTGATCGTGGCCATCGTGGGCGAGACGGTGTACGAGGACGAGCAGACCATGTTCATGTGCAACACCCTGCAGCCGGGCTGCAACCAGGCGTGCTATGACAAGGCCTTCCCCATCTCCCACATCCGCTACTGGGTCTTCCAGATCATCCTGGTCTGCACCCCCAGCCTCTGCTTCATCACCTACTCGGTGCACCAGGCGGCCAAGCAGCGCGAGCGCCGCTACTCCTTCCTTTACCCCCTCCTGGAGCGCGACGCCAAGAAGGCGCGGACACTCAACGGCGTGCTGGCGCCCGGCCCCGACGGCGGCTCCAAGGACGAAGCCGAGTGCCTGGAGGCCAAGGAGCTGCCCAGCACGCCGCCGCGCCGCGCCAAGGCCAAGCGGCAGGAGGGCATCTCACGCTTCTACGTCATCCAGGTGGTGTTCCGCAACGCGCTGGAGATCGGCTTCCTGGCCGGCCAGTACTTCTTGTACGGCTTCAACGTGCCCGCCATCTTCGAGTGCGACCGCTACCCCTGCGTCAAGGAGGTGGAGTGCTACGTCTCTCGGCCCACCGAGAAAACGGTCTTCCTGGTCTTCATGTTCGCCGTCAGCGGGATCTGCGTGCTGCTCAACCTGGCGGAGCTCAACCACCTGGGTTGGCGCAAGGTGAAGGCGGCCGTGCGCGGCGTGCAGGCGCGGCGCAAATCCTTGGTGGAGGTGCGCAAGAAGGATGGCGCCGCGTTGACCCCCGCGCCCACCCTGGGCCGCACGCAGTCCAGTGAGTCGGCCTACGTTTAAAC